ACCCCTTCCCCAAGACCTTCTTGAGTCTCACCCCAGCCCGGGCCCAGGCCGGACTTGGCCAGCCGGGTCCCCAGACGCCGCTTGGTTAGCATACTGACTGCATTTGCTCCGGTGGCTCCGGGCTCCCCAGCAGGGCCTGGCCTTCCTGACTCCCCTCTGCGCCCCTGGAGCCAGGCCTGGGGACACCCTGTAGTAGTCTCAGCAGGGGGGCGGGGGAGGACAGACTGGGGCGGGGACACCGCCCGCCCGGGGCGCTCCTGTCCTGGGCACCCAAGGCAAAGGCTCCTTGGAGAACGCTGGTGGGACAAGGGGCGGGGACTCGGACCAAGCTTCTCTGAGTGGCCTCGGCTCTGCTTTGAAAGTGACAAGGACAGCATGTGCTTTGCTTTCAGATCTCCACTACAAGCTCATAATGAATCAGAGACCACAGAAGAGAGGTGAGCCTGAGGCCCTTCGGTGCCCACTCCGAAGTCCACCGTGCACAGCAGTAACCCCCACACCGCCCATGCCCACACCGCTGCACCGGCCCCCAGTGCTAACCCCGTGGGCATGGGTTTGGGGGACCTGGACAGATGCCACTGTCCCCCAGCTATGGCTGGGTAACTTTATGCACCCAAGCACAGCAGGTGCTGCACTCAGTGAGCCCATGGCCTGAGGCCTGTGCAGCGGGTGGGAGGGTAGTACAGAGCAGAGCACTGGGGGGTGCTGCCAGACCCCCCCCCCATCTGAACAGAGCTCCTGGAACAGCCCCTGCCCTCCTGGGTCTCACTCCCGTGCTGGGTGCTCTCACTCACACAGCGGCTCCAGGTGCCCCAGCCCTGTGCCTCTGAGTCCTCACACCCTGCTTGAGGTGCTCTGGGCGCACTCCGTCCACCGATCGATGGTTTCTTCAACAATAGATGGCCAACATCTAAGCAACCACAGGCCAGGGTGGGGAAGGAAGCAGAGACTCAGAGACCTGCAGCCACTTGTGCAAGGCACTTCCTCATCCTGATGACTGTGGCTCCCTGCCCAGCCCGGAACACCAGTTGGGTTCTTGGGCTCACTCTCCCTGTCACCTCTGGGGCCAGGTCTGATTTCAGGGGGCCTGACTGGTGAACAGGGCCACTCTGGGTGGTGCTCAGGGCTCTCTTCCTGGGGTCCACACAGAGAACGGGATGGGGGCACGATCCTTCTCCAGTGGGTGTGGCAGCTCCAGTGAGCTGTGCTGAGCTAAGTGTGGCCTGAGTTAGTGGTCCCAGCCCTGCAGTGCCTGGGGACCCTGCTGGGACATCGGAAAAAGTCATGCTCATTCAGAACCTGCTATACACTAGTCCCAAGCTCCCTGCCTTCTGGTGGCCTCTGCTCGCTGAGTCTGGGGCTGCCTCAACAGAGTGTGGGTACAGCAGGGAGGACACAGCCCTGCCAGGATGTGGGGCGGCTCTGCACGAGTGCACGGGGCCCTGCAGAGCTGCCAGCTGGCCCGTGTGCTCCCCCACAGGCAGCCTCTCCACTTCCAGCTTCCATTCCGCCAAGTCCATGTCGAACTCGACAGTGTCAGGTGAGCAGGCATCCTCCCCTGCTGGGGTCCCAGGCCTGGGTGGCCAAGGGCGCTGACCAAGGGGCTGAAAGCCACTGCTGGGCAGACTGAGAGGTGGGTTCTGTGGGGTCGAAGGGTGACGGGGTGGCTGAAGGGAGGCAAGGGACGCCCAGGTGCTTGCAAGCTGATGCCCCAGGAGGGCTGAGGTGGGCTGGGACAGGACTGTAGGCTGGCCGAGGAAGGCCCTGAGGTGAGGCTACGAAAGCAGAACGGGCTGGCTGTCAACTCCGGGCAGCAATGCCTGGGGCAGACCCACCCTGGGGCAGGGCAGCAGGCAGTCAGGCTGTGGGGGCAGGCTGCTGAATGCCCGCTGAGCCTCTAGGGCGGTCTCCTAGGGAGAAGGATGTGCACCAGCTGCCCCCAAGCAGGCAGGATGCAAGCAGCGTGGCCCTTCCCACGGGGCCCCGGGCTTAAGGCATCTTTTGCAGAGCAAGCTTAAGCCTCTTCTCCCCATCCTGCTTTCCCGGAAGAAGCCCAGCATCCTCACCAGTGGTGGCCCCACCTTTTCTGTGCAGGGCCAGGTGGGCGATGGGCCTTGTCCTTGGAGAATGAACCAGGGCAGGCCAGGTCCCAGGCCTCTCACGCAGGTTCATTCTACCCACAATGGGCGCCAGCTCCCACCAGCGACCGAGCATGCGGCAGGCACCACCCATGAGCCGCACCCTCACAAGCTCAGGGAAGGGGCTGCTTGAGCCACGCAGCCGCTCCCGGGGACTTGGACAGCACTTCTGATGCCTGTGGTGACTGGCCTTGTTGGGTCTGACCTGCAGCCAACTCTCAAGGCAAGGTCAGGCCTCAGCCCAACTCCTTCAAGAAGGACTCCAAGGCTGACGTCCCCCAGAAGGTGGACCTGGAGGAGGAGCCTCCCAGCGCTACCCTCCTGCACAGTGGCAAGCTGGACAGAGCTCCTGGGGCGCAGAGGCATGCCAGGTAAGGCTCACGCGCACCCTGAAGCCAGGCCTGCATTTAACAGAGTCCCACCCTGGCATTTGCCAACTGCTTTGCCCCTTGCTCCACGGGCCTGTTTCCGACGTGACCAAGGCTTGTGAAAGCAGTGACTGCCAACCTCCACCAATCTGGTGGGCACTGTCTTCCTCCCCTCCCCTAGGAGTGCCCTGACCTGAGCCCCTAAACCACTTTCTCAGAGAAAAGAAACAAAAAGTAATCTTTTTTTTATCAAGAAAACAGTGAGTCAGGCTCCTGGGCCTGCAGTTCCCGGCTGCACCTGCTTTGGAAGACACTGGTCCAGCAAGACAGCCAGGCCAGGCTCTGGTGACCCCCGAGCTTCCGGGAACTGCCCTGGGACACCGCAGAGTGCACACTTTGGGTAGAACATGGAGCAGGACAGGCTTTTCTGCATAGCCCTAGGATTCCCCCAAGACCAGCCCAAGATGCTTAATGACCAAAGGTGGCCTGACAGCTAGCTGCTCACCCTCTGAACCACATCTGACCCTCAGTGCACCTTCAGAGGGAACAAAGGGACAGGTGGGCCCAGGTCACACCTGGCCCCAGCAACACCCACCTGGTGCCCAGAGCACCCTAGTCAGCAGGAGAAGAGAGCCCAGGCCTCTTCCCCACACTGGCCTGGGGAGGGGTGGGTGATTAGGCCAGTCCAGGCAGGTCACCACTGGGCTGCTGCAATGACCATTTCAGAAATGAGGAAGTGGACTTCAACTCAGGGGCCACCTGGGCAGCAGGCAGCCAGCACAGGGGCAGGCAGGCAACAGGGGCACCCCCATTGATGAGCCTGCCCCCACGCCTGCGCAAGCCCACCACGCTTCAGCAATGCGAGGTGGTCATCCGCCAGCTGTGGAATGCCAACCTTCTACAGGCCCAAGAGGTGAGGCCCCGGGCAGAGGTGGCCCTCGATGGCCCGGCACCTACGCAGGTGCACCTCCATCACCCCTCCCCTGCCTTCCAGCTGCAGCACCTCAAGTCCCTCCTGGAGGAGAGCCAGAGGCACAAGGCTACCCCTGAGGAGGCTGGGCAGACTTCTCCCAAGTGAGTGCCCTGGCACCCCACCCCACCTGTCCCATAGGGCCTGTCCAGGGCTCACTGCTGACCCTTCCTTCACCCAGGGACCAGGAGGCCATGCACCTCCCCAAGGTCTCCAGCAAGAACCTCTCTAAGAAATGGTGAGTATCCCGCACAGGGAGCGGGGTGGCCGCTGCAGCCCAGTACTGGCAGGGAGGGGGGCTCAGAGCAGAGCCGGCCATGGCCTCCCTGGGCCAAGTTAGGGCTGGGCCAGGCCCCATCCCAGTGGAGTCCCCACTTCTGAACAAACTCGAGGTGACTGTGCCTCTGCTGTCACAGCCTGGTTCTGAGCCCGACACCCGTGGCGGAGCGCTCCATCCTGCCTGCACTGAAGCAGACGCTGAAGAGCAACTTTGCCGAGCGGCAGAAGAGGCTGCAGGTGGTGCAGAACCGGCGCCTGCACCGCTCGGTGTTCTGAGCCCGCCTGGCACCTGCCCTTGGCCAGGCCTGAGGACCTGCAGCCAAAAAGACGAGCCCCCTCCACACCACACTTCCAAAGGACTCTGATGCTTTTACACCAAGCTAAAGATAAACAAAACTCATGACAGATAAAGTACTTGACCTCCACACTGAAGAACTGTTATTTTCTTGCTATTATTTTGCTATTCTGCATATACTCAAAAGCACATTACCCTCCCTGTTGAAGACAGAAAATAAAGCTGTTTCTCTCCAAGCTGTGTGTCTCCTTCCTCACTGGCTCCCCGGTGTTGCTTCCCAGCCCTTGGTCCCTAACCTGGCTCCCTGCTAGTCTGGATGGGACCTGCCTGGGCAGCGGCTCCTGCTCATGCCAGGACCTGGCAGCCGTCCTGGATAAGAAGCGTCAGCAAAGCCACACATGCCCTGCCTGGAGGCAGGGTGGCTTTCCTGGGCTCCTGGCTGAGCCGGGAGCTGCCTTGTAGGAACATGGTCACTCTGGGTCTCCTGCCCAGACTGGCCACTGCTGAGGGCAAGACACTGTCCTCTCCCGCCTCGACACTCAACACTGCTGACAAGTGGCCCGGCGGAACCAGCCTTCCTCTGTGGAGCACCATGGCAAAGGGAGAACCGTCATCTCCAGAATGCTGTGTCCAGGCCTGGCCCACCCTGTCACCAGCACAGCTATGTCCACTGTCTGGGGGTGGCCAGCTCAGTGCCCACCCTTGCCTGGGTAGCACAGTCCTCCAGTCCCAGGGCCCCATGTCCTCCCACGAGGCCAAGAGCTTTAGGGAGCAGAAACTGTGCCGGGAACCTGGGGCATGGGCCAAGCTGAGGAATGGGACAGTGTGTCAGGTAAGGGGAGCTGAGGTCTGGGGTATCCAGGGCCAGACTGGACACTGCTACCTACAGAGTTGACAGCATCCCTGACAGGACAGCAGGCTCCAGATTCATGGAGAAGAGGACGCAGTGATGAACTCCTGACAAACACAGGAATAATAAATTTATTATAAGAACCACAGATGTTGGGGTAGTGCACATAAAAAGGGAGCCTCTCGTGACCAGAGGGCTGCTGGTTGCTGCCCAGACACAGGGAACACAGGGCAGCGCTGCACTGTCCCAGGGCCCCGTCCCAGCTGGGAGCCCAGCCCTGGAGTGGCGCAGAGTGTAGGAAGCTCTGAGGATACTGGGTCCCAAGGACACTGCTCTTCATCCTTCACAGCAGGACACAGCACGTGGACCCAGGAGTGCCAGGGACAGGGTCCTGATACCCCTCTCCCGGGCTACCCACAGTGCTGAACAGGAACGCCAGGAGGTCTGAGGCCAAGCTGGTGGCCAGGGACAGGTGGCCACCTGCAGGCCCCCTTCCTCTGAGACGCAGCCCGCACCCCAGACCAGGAGCCCCCCTTGCAAGAGCAATGCAGCCTGAACCCAAAGCCACGATCAGAGAATTGTGTGTCTTAAGGGTTTCCTGTGTCCTCCACGTTTTCCTATAGAAACGAGTGGAAGTGTGTTCTAGCACACACACAAGAAGCCCTGACAAGACCCTGAGATCTCCCTCATGCTGCTGAGAGCGGACCTGGACCTGGGCCCAGACCCCCAAAAGGCTGCGAGAGCAGCCCGAGGATCTGACTCCCTGGAGAAAGTTGCGTGAAGAACCTTCTCTAAGAAGACAGCCAACGCCCCACCAGCCAGCTCCACAGCTGCCTGTCCCAGTTCTGAACAGTGTTGGAATTTCATTTGGCAGGTCCCCAAGACAGAAGATAAAAGCAGAAAGCTAACTTAAACCCAGGCTCCCTAAGGAAGCCAACACCTAGAAATGTCCAAGAGGAGGGGTGTGTCCACAGTCCGACGAGGCTGCTGGCTATCCCTGCAGTCCCAGCTAGGCAGCCGAGAGGCAGGCCTGGTGGACGCTCTGGGCCCAGGTGTTGAGTAGGGCGGTGACCGAGTGCTTGTCAGGGAGCTGCAGCAACCTCGCGGTCATGCGCCGGTGCACCGACTGCAGGAAGGGGTTGGCTTCTGCAACAGAGCAGTGGGCCATGAGCGCCGGGCCCACACCCACCCACAACACAGCTCCGTGGGAAGGGCAACCTCAGGGTGGGCTGGTGTGCTGGGACGCCGCCTCCTGCACACTGCCCGGCCGCCTGGCTCTCTTCCCACGGCCATGTTATCAGTGAAGAACTTCAATGGGAACTGGATCCAGAGCCCAGGGGCTTTCCCTCTGTGACACCCTTGGGGACCCAGTCCTGGCACTGCTGTGTGCCAGCTCTGAGCCTCAAGGGGACTTTCCCCTACTAATAGAGTCATATCACTGAGATGGGTCCCTGTTAGCCTAAGCTCTATCAGTGTCCCTGCCACCCCCACACCAAGAACCACAGACAGTGGCCACTGGGGGCAGCTGGGTCCGTCCTTGAGCCACGGGCCCACTTAGCCCTCAACCCACTGAACACAGCCGCCCTGGACAGTTGATCAGCCACAGGATGGAGGGTTGAAGGGACATGTAGAGGCAGAGACCCTTGTCTCTCTAGGTGACCACTGAGCAACCTGTGCTGTCTGAGAGGGGAGCTGCAGCTGGGAATGGGAGGGGCACCAGGCGGTCTCTGGGAAGCCCAGCCTGCTTGGCCCTCAGAGGGCTCCCCTAGGTTTACCCACCGTACTGCCACTGCCGATTGATCCACAGCGGGCTCTGGGCGGGGTAGTCGGCAGGCACGCTGAGCTCCAGCGGTGGCACACTCGGGAGGTCCTTGTCATCTGCAGTACACAAGGCTGTACACCTCTGACCTAGACAAGCCCTGGCCTGCCCTGCCCCAGAATGGGACTCTTCACACCTAGAAGGTTCTGGTGAGGCTTGCTACAAGACCTGTAGGTCCCCCTGACTCTCAGATTTCCAAAATTGGAACCTGGTGTGCCCTGTGTAGATGGGTACCGGGGTCCTGCCAACCGTCTCCCACATGTGCTCAGGGGCTGGGCCTGGGGCATGGCCAGGCCACCCTGGGCCAGGTGTGTGAGCATGGAGACATGAGGGCAGACGGGCCGCCTGGCGGGGCATGAGGGCAGTGGCAGGCTCTGGGGCTCTGCCTTCCGGGCTGGGTGGCAGAGCCCTGGAGCTGCAGTTCAGGGCTTGCTACCCTCCTGGGCCACTCACCGAGCTTGCATATCAGGTGGACGGTGCCGTTGTTGCTGCAGTGAGAAGGGTCCAAGTTCACCAGGAACTTGGGGTCCAGCCTGGCCACCTCCCCCTGGAGCACATTGGGGATGCTCTGCCGCTCGTCCTCCTCGAGCTTGCGCTTCCGGGTGCAGACCACAGGGGCCCTGAGGAGGCGGCGTGGTGACCACACTGGCCACACGCAGCCCATGGCCACTGCCCTCTGCAAGGCCCAGCCCCGGGCGTACGTACGTGATGGGTGGGCCGTGGATGGCGGTCATGGCTGGCACGAATGTGCGGTACAGGGAATGGTTGAAGACAGGCGAACGGATGTTGGCTAGGACGGCATCCAGGAGTGGCTGGCACAGGTACTGCTGTTTGGTTGGTGGCACTGGGGGTGGTGGGGGTGTGGGCTGGAGACGGGATGGGACAGCCCAGGTCAGCCACCAGCCTGGGGTTCCAGGGTGTACCCACTCTGAGGAACCTTCCTGCCCCCAAGGCCCTCACACTCACTCACAGTCAGATTCCCAAGGCTTTTCCCCTAACGTCCACCCCTGTGCAGATAGCGCAGATGACCCTGGGTGCAATCCCCTGCCCTTCAGGGCCATGGGCAGAGGGTGGTTTCTCCCAGATTCCCAACCCCCACAGCACAGCCGGCCAGGAAGGCTCCTCCAGGCTTGTGTGCCCAGGCACTGTGGGAGAGCCTGACTGTCCCAGAGCTGCCCGACGCTCCACGCACCACTGCCATGTCGTTCTTGAGTTTCTCCAGGGCAATCTCACATTTCTGCAGGGTCTTCAGGGGACACCTACGGGGAGAGGGGGTCATGGGCTAGTCCTAGTGCTGGAGGGCTGGGACAGCTGTTGGCTCTCGGGCTCGGATCCCAACCACTGCCTGCCTGGCCTACCCTGGGCTTCCGCCATCGGACAGCTCTGCAGGAACCCTAGCCAGTCTGGCCAGCTATCCCCAGACCCAGCCTTATCTACAGCAAAGGCTATCATCACCCGCAGGAGCTGCCCATTCCTGGCTGACAGAACAAAGGGAGGGACAGGACAGGGGCCAGGGCCTGGCCAGGCTGAGAAGGCCTGTCTAGAATTCTAGGCCAGACCCTGCCCTCCTTGGCCCTAAAACCTCAATGAAGACTCAATCCAAGAGGGCCTAGACGGCTGTCTGGCTCCCAAACCCCCAGGTGGCAGTGACTGGCACTCTACCCAGATAGGCAGAACGGGGAGACCCATCTCGAAGGGGAATGAGCACAGCCTGAGTCTAGGCGGCGAGACGAGGGAGGCAGCACAGAGGCCCATGCCCATGCACAGCTCTGAGGCGCTGCCCGAGCGCTGGTGCCAGTGGCTGGCACACCGCCGTCTGCGTGCTTCTCACCCACGCTGCCTTTCATTTCCGTGACCAACACACGTGAGCTGCAAATTGGGTACCTGAGACATGGCCGCCTGCCCAGTCACCGGCAAGCTGGGGCAGGACAGAAGGTCAGACTCAGGCCCAGCATGACCAGCTGAAGGTGAGGCTACTGCCAGCCGGGACCTGGCCACTGGCTAGGTAAGGCCTAGTGCAGGGCGAAGGCTGGGCGCTGGCCAAGGTAAAGTCCAGGCTGGAAGCCCCAGTGCACACACAGAAGTGGAGCTGCTTGGGTACCTTCACTAAATGCACATCATCACCAAGCACGCCCTTGGGGGCCCTCTGTGGGCGCAGCACTGTCCTTCCCCAGGGATCTGGGGCAAAGCTCACCGCTTAGACGGGTCTGTCAGAATGTCCAGAAGACTCTTCATCTTGCTCAGGTCCTTTTTTCTGTCTGGGACAGAAAAGGGGGCACCTAAGACACAGCCCTGGGGCACACCCCACCTCCGCTCAGCCCTGCCCCCGGCCCCACCTTCATTCTTGTCGATCTTGTTAATCATGCGGCGCAGAGGCTCGATGTACTTGGACAGCTGCTTCAGCTTGTCCAGGTACTGCTGCTCCTCAGCCTGGCTGGAACTGGCCGGGCTCATGACGGAGCTGGGATTCACTGCAGGACATAGGCCATGGCCCCAGACCCTCAGGGGAGGCCCTCAGGCTAGAGGGCCCCCGAGCCTGAGCGCCTGGTGCAGGCTGAGGCCATGCAAAGGTGAGTGGCGACACTCAGCACTCAGCCTCGTGTGAGTCACACGATGGGGATCTAGGCCTTGGGCCGTGCCCACTCCCACCCCAGGCCCGACTTACCAGGGGTGTTTAAAGGTCCAGGTGAGGGGACACTGAAGTTCTGTGGGGTGCGCGCTGTCACTGGACTCTGGGAGGGCTGCGGTGAGGGGCTGGGCAGGAAGCTACTGGGGGACGGGGCAGGGCCAGAGCTGCAGCCAAAGGGAAGGAAGCACGTCTGAGCTGGGGCCAGGCAGAGACCCCTGAGTGCCAGGCAGGGAAGGGCGGCCCTGGCCAGGCCTACCTGACATTGGAGTTGGGCTGCGAGCCAGGCTGGCCAGGCTGCGGGGACGGCTGGGGGGGAGGGGGCATCGACTGCGGGGTCTGCACCTGCTGGCCCGGTGATGGTGAAGACAGCATGGGGAGGCTGGTCTGGCCGACCTGGAAGCGGAGGGGCTCAGCCGGCGTGCTGCCACACGCCTACCCACCTCCATGCCACCTGCCCAGCACACGTGCAGGCCCTTCCTCCCTCTAGCTCCCCCACCACGCACAGTCTTCTTCCAGATGCCGCCTAGATAGGCACACGCCTCCGCCCCTGACATAGCGCACAGCGACCCGGCGGCTGGCAGGAGGGCCAGGGGACAGCCCTAGCTCCCCAGTGGGGTAGGGGCGTGAGGACAAGGACTACTGGGTGGGGACAGGCCACGGTGTGGGAGCATGGGGGCAGCCTGGAGAGGCAAAGGCTTCGGCCTGCCCTGCCCTGCCACACCCTGACTGGGTTGTGGTGCTCTCCCCTGCGGGTCAGTAAGGACCCTGCTCTGCTGACTGGTGGGACTGTCTTCCCATACACTTCCACCAGCCCCACAGCCCCCTAGGCTGACTACACCAAGGACAAGCCCAACAGCCCAGGCCATCTGTTAGTTCCGACATATGTAGGTGGCCTGGCCGCACCTGACCAGCTGCAGGGCTGGTCTCACACTGTGTCCCACCTGGACCTCCTTAACTGGAGCGAGGTGGCCCAAGGAGCGACATGCACACCCACACTGGCACTGGTGTTGGCCCTTGTCGGCACCAGCGACACTGGGCTCAAGGCCTGGTTTTACACACAGCTGGGTGTGTGCACCCTGAATCTGCAGAGGCCTCGTCTTGTCTGTAGAGTGGGGCTGCTCTCTGCTCCCCAGTTGTCAGGTAGAGGATGACACAGTGGGGTCAACTGCACCATTGTCCACACCAGGGATAGTGAACTCCAAAGGATGAAACCAGCACAAATCGCCCAAACATCAAGGACAAGGATGTGTGAAACACCCACACTTTCCAGGGGAGAAGCATAAGGTGGCAGCTCTGAACAGGGAGGACAGCTGCCTGGCTGGCCCAGGGTGCCTGGCCCCCCAAAAAGGATCCTAGCAGAGAGGACTGCCTCCCCCAGTGCTGTGGTGACACCATGAAGGCCTGGACCCTCACCAAACTGGGGCCACCCTAAAGGCCTTGCTAGCCTTAGAGGTCCTCAAGGGTCCGCAGTGGCATCTCCCACACTCTAGTTGAACCCCTGCACAACCTGCTTCCTGGGAGCCCAGTCCACACCCTTTCCCGGCTCCTAGACTGTCCAGTTCTGCAGACTGACCGCTGCCCATCTGGAGCCACAGCTCCTGCAGCCCCCACCTCTGCCATAGCTGGGGGCTCTGGGCTAGGACTGCCCTCGGTTGCTGCTTTCTCAGCTCCTTGAACTGGGGACCAGGCTCAGACCCCACCAAGGAGACAGGACACTTGCCGTCTCCACCAGTACCCTACCAGGCAGGGGAGGGCATGGCCGTTCCCTCAGCACCACCTGGAGCAAGCTCCTGGAGTGAAATGCCGTCCCTCCTGCCTGCTCCCACTGGGTGTGCCCAACACGGCTGCTCGGGATGCTGGGTGCAGGCTGCTCCCAGGGCTACACGCTCTGGGGGGATGAGGGCACCAAGGCACAGGGCACCAGCCACAGCATGGCGCTTCCAGCACAGCGGGGTCAGAGGCCCTATCTCAAAGCCGCTGGCCCAGTGGGATGTCCATGGGCTGTTCCCATCACTGTGACCAAAGCACTCCCACCAGGGAGAAGAGGTGCAAGAGCATGGAGCTCAGGCCTTGGCTGCCAGGCCTGGTCTCTGCCACATGGAGTAAAATGGTGCCAGGCGAATTACGCTGATGTCAGCAAGGCCAGAAATGGGGACTGCTGTGACTGTGTTTGCAAACTGCTGAGCTGCAGGAGAGCACAGGCTTCTCCCATGCAGACCCATGCATTCACGCTGCTGATGCACCGTGAGTCCTGTGGGGCCAGGGCCAGTGGCAGGTCCTATACACCAGAAAGCATGTTCCAGAATCAGCCCCAGCACTAACTAAATCCCAGGACCAGAAAGTTTCACGTAGAGACCACAGACAGTGCCAAGGACAGGGAGGCTAAGGCTCCTTGGGACTCTGTGCCCAGCCCAGCCCTGTTGGGCATGGCCCTCCCTGTGGTGGGTTCCCTCCTAAAGCCCTGCCCTCCTGTGCCCAAGAGCCCCCGCTCTCACTCTCTCTTCCCTGACTCATACCCTGATCTACTGCCACCCTCCACCTGCAGCCCAGAAGCTGCCTCGAGCTCACCCTCTTCCTGCCCGAAGGTCAACACTCCTCACACCTGGCCTCTCCCTATCGGCCTGGGCCCAGCCCCCACCTGCCCCAGGAGGTGCTCAACCTCTGCCTGAGCAGAGCTCGTCCTGGAGATGGCCAGCTCCCGCCTGCAGCCTAGAGCCCAGGACTTCTCTGAGAGCAGTGAGGGACCCACAGGGTGGCAGGGCTAGGTGCAGGCTGCCACAGTGGGGAAGGCCGCTGCACAGTCCATTCTCTGAGCCAAATGTTAAAAAGCCCTCAGCACTCAGACCACAGGGAAACAGGCACAGGCTGTCCACAGCCTCTGCACTCTGTGGAGATGCTCTTGGGCACGAGGCAGCGGTTCTGGGGCACAGCAAGGAGAGTAGCCAGGCAGCCTCTGCAGGGCAGAGCACCTAGGCCCCCCAAGGTGTTGCTTTCTTGGGGAGGATTAGAGCCTCCTGGCCTGTCCCAGGGAGGCCCTTTCCGCCAGTGGCCCTCTTTGTAGGAAACACCTGCAGCGTGCTGGGTGCAGCTCCTCTCCATGAGTCTTCTCCAACCCTTCCAAACAGCAAGTCCCCACTGCGACCTGCCCTGCCTGTCCTAGGTGCACCCAGGAGCCCAGCTCCCAAGTGTCGTGCTTCTCTTCTCATCCTGACATGGCCTGGAAGCTTCCTCTCACACTCCCTCCAGGGCAGGGCCTGGGCCCCAGCTGCCTGGGCCCCTAGCAGGCACACCAGCCTGCTCACAAGGGGCCCCCTCAGAGCCAGGCCCCCTTCTGGACCCGAGGAAGCTCAGCACCCCACTTTGGCCCCTGCAGTGGCTGTGCTCATGGGGCCCTCAAGGTCCACCCAGCATGTGGGTTATCTCAGCCTTTCAGCTGCCCCAGGCCAAGGCAGCCGGTGGCCAGCAGAGCCCAGAGGACAGGAGGCTGGGGAGAGATTTCTAGCAAGAAGAAAACCGAACAACGGTGCCCTTTCATTTCCAAGTGCAGGAAACCAGGCCCTGGACATTCCTTTGGGGTCAGCGTAGGCAGTCCAAGTCCCAAATCCCAAGTTGTCTCAGACACACCTGGGATGGGAGCAGCCCCCAAAGACTGAACTGGCCTAGTGAGGTGGCCAGTGAAACCAGAAAGAACCTCCCATGGCGCCCAGAGCAGCAGCATCAGAAGGTAGGCAGATGCAGAGAGTGGGGAGGACAGGAGGCAGGAGGGCAGAAAGGAGCAGAAAGGCTGGTGGAGGCGGCTCGTCCCACAGAGAAGCCTAGGCAAGGCTGATAGTACCGCCCACCCCTGCCTGGCACACCAGGAACTGCCCGCCCCTTGCTCCCAGCCGCATTCGGGTCCCCTGCAGGCACTCTGCATGGCACAGTGGAGTGTGACCCCATCACAGTGCTGCCCACGCGTGCCCGTCAAGGGAGTGCTGGGAGAGGAACCCGGGTAACCTCCTGGACCCCTGTGCTGGGCCTGACACAGAATCCTGCTTGGACGTGGCAGACTGGGTCCGTGAGGCGTCCCCATCATACGTTAACACAAAGACATCACCAAAGGCCACTAGGGCAGTGACAAGGCTAGGAGGGAAGCTGAGAACCAAGAAAGCCCATCTCAGGAAGAGCCCACGGACACTCATACGCCGACTTTCTGCTCTGCCTGCTATCTTGGACTCAATTTGTTGTCACAAGGAAAGAGCAAAAGCGACAGGCAGCGTAAATTTGCCCCCTCTCTTTTCCCACAGGGGACTGGATTAGAAGGACACCAACACAAAGGCGGCTGCACACCACCTCTGGGAGCAGCGCATGTGGCCAGGTGGATGGACATGGTGTGTGGGGCCATGGGGGCCTCTGTCCCTAGGGTTAGAGCATGGCCAGGTGTGCAGGAGGCTGGGGAGCCTGGTGTTCCAGGCCCGTCCTGGAGGGCTGGGGGAAGAAGGCTCCCGTGGGCAAAGCCGGCACTAGAGCTGCAGAGACACCACCCCAGCAGTGGGGAGTTGCCCCCTCCGGGCTTTCTCTCCATGGGCTTTTCTCCCTAAGTATTTTAAGGGTCTCCTTCCGCTCAGCCAGCAAGAATGAGTCTGCTTTAACGAGTCTTGCCCAGTTCTGTGCCTGCCTTCCTCTTTCCAAAAATCCTGTGGCTTTACTTTACTGCTGGGATGAGCAGTATTTCCTAAATGCTGCTACATCTGTCCTCGCTGCCAGTGCTACCGGGTGGAACCTGGCGAGTAAGCCTGAGCAGTTAGCTGGCATCTTCCTGAGATGGCTCCATCACTCGCCCCGCACAAGGCAGTGAGGATGAACCAGAATTCTCTGTGACGTTTATTTCAGGCACTAACTTTATTTTGGCTTCATCGTTTTTCTCTCTCTTTCTCCCCTCCCCTTCATCTAACTTCCTTGCCTATGGGGGCTGGGAGCTACTGCAGGCAGTAAGACCTACCTGATTGGCAAAACTCAGGACAGACTTGATGTGGAGGGGACAGGAAGGCCAGGAGGGAGGGAGTGGTTTGGGGGTGCGTGAGAGGGAGGGAGGGGTGCCTGTGGGAAGTCCTGGTGGAAAAGGCCAGCAGCTAGGCATGGGGAGAGTGGGAATCCCACACCAGCATGGCAAGACAAGGCCCAGGACAGAGCCTGGCACTTTCGGGGGCCAGGGAACCCACCCAGGAGTGCAGGAGTCCCCGTAAACCAGGATGAGGAACACGGTCAGTCGTCAGCCCAGCTGGAAGAGGGGACTGGAGGGGTTTCTACAAGAATGCTGCTGAGAGTCCAAAGTGCAAGGGTTTCAATCAATTGAGCCCTCAATCCTAAACGTGGCGGCTCTCTGGGGCACTCTCAGCCTGTGAAAGGGTGAAACTATGACCTGCTGCAGGCCAAAGAAATTCTGCACACAAAGAACTCAGCTTGAGGCCTGGCATGTATCACACACTCTAAATGTTGGGGACGTTTTGTTTTTATAAAAATCAGTCCTACTTGCTGCTGCTAAAGTCATTCCCCCACATACAATAGCCCAACCTGACTGAACCCAGTGGACACGGAGCCAGAGGCTGTGGAAAAGGAGAATAAGCAGTCCCCCTCACGGAGCTGGGCGCCAAAGGGCCTGGGCGAGGAGATACCCACCAGCAGCCCCTGAGCAGCCTCCGGGCCATGGGAACTGCTCCCTGGCTCTGTCTACCCTGGCTTTTTATCAGTATATTCCAGCCCCTCTCCCCTCCCATAGCCCAACGACTACCAGAAGGGAGGTCAATGACAAAGAACTCAAGTTCTAGTGAGTGACAAACTGTATAAACGGCCTACATGAGGTGACCCCAGGGGTTGGAATGCAGGGGGCGCAAACACTGAGCATGTCGCCACGTGGCAATGCCTCACCTGCAGGAGGGTGCGGCCCCCTTTAAGCGTGTGTGTGGCAGTGTGGCACAAGGTGGGGCTGGTGGACCGGGGCCGTCCCGACTCGGCCTCCGCTTCCTCCTCCGCACAAAGGCGCCACCACACAGCACACAGGTCGGGGTGTGGACAGGCAGCGATGGCAGCGCCTGCACACACACCCTACTGTCTGCTGGGACTGGAGATGGGTGTCCTCCACGACAGAAAATGAATTGTAAAGGTCTTTTAGTAAATTTGAAGTTTTCACAACAAACCCACAAAAATGGAAAGCCCATATAAATAGGTAGCTTTAACACCATTTTATTTTGCAAATGTTAGAATGGTACTTGGCACATAGAATATGGTAACTATTTGTTAAATAAATGAACACACCAGGGAATAATTCCAAATTTCACATAATAACAGAAAGCCAGGAATCCATATCCCCAGAAAGCATAGGGTCCACGTCCACCTAGAGGGAAGGTGTGTGGTAAACTCCACACCACACAATACACAGGCACGGCCCAGCCCAACACCACTGTCGGCCGCGATGGCCACATTCTGCAGTCTGTGATGTCCGGCACCACGGCAGTCACCGCTTCCATGTGGGAAATGAGCGCTTGAAACATAACGTGCAACAAAAGAGCTGGATTTTTGGTTTTATTTAATTTTAGTCAATTTAAACGTAGAGAGCCACATATGACTAGTGGCTACACTGTTAGCACAGCCCTACAAAGCAAAACTATTTGCTTGGCTTCTGCTTTATTTTACCACAAAAATGACAGCAGCATAATTATTATTACTATTTTTTTTTTTTTTGAGACAAGAGTCTTGCTCTGTTGCCCGGGATAGATTGCCGTGGCGTCAGCCTAGCTTACAGCAACCTCAAACTCCTGGGCTCGAGCAATCCTCCTGCCTCAGCCTTGTGAGTAGCTGCTGGGACTACAGGCATGCGCCACCATGCCCGGCCAATTTAGTAGATGGGGTCTTGTCCTTACTCAGGTTGGTCTTGAACTCCTGATCTTGAGTAATCCTCCCGCCCCAGCCTCCAGAGTGCTAGGATTACAGGCATGAGCCACTGCGCCCAGCCACTATTATTACTATTTTTTTTAACAGAGACAAGGTCTTGCTCTGTTCCCCTGGCTGAAGTGCTGTGGCATCATCATAGCTCACTGCAGCCTCAAACTCCTGGGCTCAAGCGATCCTCCCGCCTCACCCTCTCAAAGTGCTGGGATTACAGGCATCAGCCACTGTGTCCGGCAGCATAACTATTTTAAACTTAAAAAAAAAAACAAAAATAAAACCCAAGCCGGGCTCGGTGGCTCACGCCTGTAATCCTAGCACTCTGGGAGGCCGAGGCGGGCGGATTGCTCGAGATCGGGAGTTCGAAACCAGCCTGAGCGAGACCCCGTCTCTACTAAAAAAAAATAGAAAGAAATTAATTGACCAACTAAAAGTATATATACAAAAAATTAGCCGGGCATGGTGGCGCATGCCTGTAGTCCCAGCTACTCGGGAGGCTGAGGTAGGAGAATCGCTTGAGCCCAGGAGTTTGAGGTTGCTGTGAGTTAGACTGACACCACAGCACTCACTCTAGCCTGGGCAACAAAAAGTGAGACTCTGTCTCAAAAAAAACCAAAAAAACAAAAAAAAACAAAAAAAACAGATATTTATCCACATCCCCTTGAGAAACACAACCTGGCCTTGGCCTCATTAAAAAAAAGTGACACTTGGCTGGGCACTCTGAAAGCCACCACGAGGGAAATCACTGATGACAACAGGCTTTATAAAGGCGCTCAGAGGACGCCCTGAGCTTCCAGCCACGCCCTGTGCACTGCCCCATGAATACCTGTGCGGTGGGCAGTCCGCCCACAGGGATGGAACTCGACAGGACGGCGGACACAGCGGTGGTAGGCGGGAACCGGGCTCTTATGTGCATCCCACCTTGGGCCAAGGCTTCCGTCATCATCTTTGAGGACAGAGGGACAACAGACAAGGTGATTGCAACACAGAAATGCAGAGCACAGGCAGGTGGAGAGGGTGTATGCAGCCTCCGTGACAAGGGACGCCAGCGTGAGAGGCCCTCGAGCAGCTCGGGGCAGCCTGGGAGGCGGGGTTCGCTGACATGTTCAAGCCCACAGCACTGCCAGGCCCATGCAGCACTAGGAATCTGGAAGTCACCAGGCATGCTGCTTCCAGACCTTTCTATTCTACTGGCCTCACTCCTTCATCGGTTGTCCTGAGCAGACCTCTAACCTGCTGACAACCAGAATCCCTCAGCCCACAGAGCCGTCAGGGCCAGACCTCAAGGGCCAGGGGTGGTGTTTCTGGGAGACCAGGCTCCAGAGGACTCAAAAGAACACGTCCTATCAAAGCTACAAGTAGAGTGGCCAGTCACTGAGACAGAGGATGAGGTCGGGTAAGCCGCTCACAGCGCCCCTCACTCTCAGCAGCACACAGCCACACACCTCCCAGGGCCAGATCCCAAACCATCCTCATCTCCCCCAGCCTCTCTGAGGCTGCTGCTCCTAGTATCCACCAAGGAACTGGTTTCCTTTCTTCTTTCTTTTTTTCGGTTTTCATTCATAACTATAAAAATGAGGGAAGGTGGGCAAGAGAAGCTTGGGACTCCATCTGGCAGGCCTCCTCCCAGCAAGGCAGGCTGTGTGCTGTGGTGGATTTGGGCCCAGGCACCTGAGTTGGGGGGTAGAGCCTTAGCCCGGTCTCTAGAGAACAGGGCCTGCATGTGCTCAGAAGAGTTACAAACAAGAATAGACACAGCCAGGTTCAGAAAGGAAGCGGGACTGATCCATGGAAAAACAGAGCTCACTCGGGGAGGCTGAGCCGGGCTTCAGCACAGGCAGCGAGGTACACTGGGGACAAGGCTCCAGCAGGAGAGCAGCTGCAGCGAGACTTTTGCCTCACACGCACAAACATGCTGAGCCGCACGGCTGTGCTCACAGCCACAGGCACATAAGCAGACAGGGCAAGCTAGGGGTGAGATGGCACAGGAGATGCCAGCAAGAACCTCACTCGCTCCTGCAGCCAGAGCAACAGTACTTCCTAGGAGAGGGGATAAGGAAGCAATCCCCATGGTGTCTGCCAAAACATAGGCCCAGTCCTGAAGAGCCCACCACCCACCAACCTGTTGTCAGACACAAAGGGGGACATGGATCAGGGGTGAGTGAGGGCTCAGGGTGTACTCCGGGCCCAGGAGAGGAGCCTCCCCAGGAGGGCCCCTGCCTGCACTGAGGGAGGGGCTGAAAGCAATGCTCCTCTCTGGGCCCAGCTCTTGGCAGAACTGGGGGGTGGCAGGAGGGGACAAGACTCCATTGACAACCAGCCACTGCACTCAGAGGAGCCCATCTGAGACTGCAGTGGCAGCTCAATCATGCTCCTTCAGGACAGAAAAAGGCCTGGAAGTTAGTCAGGTGGTACGAGAAGTACAAACGTTTTCCAGGAAAAAAATAATAACGAATGAAAAGCTTAAATCTAATCTGCTGCTGACTGGTTTCTGTATAACTAAGAACTCCTGATGAAGAAAGCTCAATTTCTTTTAAGCATAAATGCCAATGAAAACACCAGTCATAGATCGGATGCGCCAGGTACCTGCTAACCAGTGCCGAGTCCGGTGAGTGCATTTCAATGCTTCCCAACACACATCTACCTGGAAAGGAATTTAACCCCCTCCCCCAGGCTAGACCCTCCCTGCTGCACCCACAGTGCAGGGCCCAGGAGATAGGGTCCTCAGGCCCACCAAAGCTCTACTGGACAGCAGCCAAGCTACAGCATGCCATGCGCATGTCCACAATGCAAGTCTATCTTGGATGAAAATTCTTTGTTTTGGTTTGGTTTTTTTGAGATAGAGTCTCACTCTGTTGCCCAGGCTATAATGCTGTGGCATCATTATAGCTCACAGCAACCTCAAACTCCCGGGCTCAAGTGATCTGCTTTTTCTCACTCAGCCTCCCGAGTGAGTAGCAGGGTCTACAGGTGCACGCCATGATGCTGGCTAATTTTTCTATTTTTAGTAGAGATGGGGTCTTGCTCTTGCTCAGGCTGGCTGGTCTTGAACTCCTGAGCTCAAGCGATCCTCCTGCCTTGGCCTCCCCAAGAGTGCTAGGATTACAGGTGTGAGCCACTGAACCCAGTGACAATTCTTTGTAACTTGTAAATTACAGTTAAGTTTTCATTACTAAAAGAAAGTCAAAAGACAAAAGCATGGAGACTGTTAAAACATAGAGACACACTCCATGCTGGTTTTATGGGGAGAAAGAGAGGTCTGCTGTGTCCCAGTGAATTCCCCTGTGGGTGACATCACCCTCCTCGGCTACACAAGTAACATCAGATAAAAGAGAACCAGGCATACCGCAGCACAAGGCTGAGTGATCTTTCTAGAATACTCAATCCCAGGCTGAGGGCCTGGCCACTTCAGAGGGGCACCTGTCTTAGGCTCTGGGAGGGCAGGCTTGAAAGATGAGGACTGGAGGGCTGCCCATTTGGGCCCCCATCCCAGTGCTTCCTTCGTGGGACCGGAGGCCTGTTCTGTTGGTGTGTGGCAGCTCACATACACAGAGCTGCAACACGTGGTCACCACCGCACCCCAACAGCAAAGGTGTGAGCACCACACAGGGAGATCCAGTCTGCATTTCTGGGCAACTGGTTAGATGACTGGCTGATAGGATTTGGGGGCCTTCAAAGCAACCCAGTGACTCATTTCTGAAAAGCTTCAGATACAATCTAGAATTCAGCCATGTATCAAGAAATGCACTATTGGTAATAGCAAAAAACTGGAAATAACCTCAAGATCCAAGAACAAGATGGCAATTAAGGATATCAGGAGATATTCATAGAGGAATATCACACTGAAAATGATGTCGACCAGGCGTCCTAATTCAGCAGAACATTTCACCCTATGCTAATGTGGAAGACACTGCATATAAAACCCATGGACAGCGTGACCTCAACTAAGTGGGAATCAGAAGGGCAGGGTCCTCAAACCACAGCCCGCAGGCCACATGGACATTTATCTGGCCTGCCAGGTGTTTTTGCCGCCGCTGCCTGTCCTGCTTAGCACCCAACTCGTCCCAAGCCCACAGTGCGCTTGTGTGGAATGTGCGCCGCACTCTCCAATGGTCTGAGGGACAGTGAACTGGCCCCTTGTTTAAAAAGTTTGAGGACCCCTGCAGAAGGGACACCAATCTGTCTCTCACTCACTGCAGTGTTTCTCCTCTATTTCTCCCCACTTTCCATCTCCTACAGTTACCGCACATCTTTAAAAGTTTAGGGACCAGAGTACCGTAGCCTCTCCTGGTCCACTGTGCCAACCAAAGGCAGGCCAAACATGCCCCTCAGGAGGGCTTGTTGCACCTAAGCCACTTGGCCACACCCCAGGGACTGTGCTCTTGCAAACACTGCAGTGAGGTCAGCCAACCAGCCTCTACGAGACTGTCAGCAGGTACAAGAGCGCGTGGAGAGAAAACCAACAGGACACAAGGCACTGAATGCGGAGGTGCTGCGGCTGGACGAGCTCACCCAGACGCGCACCACACTCGGGGGTTCAAGAACCCACAAGGCTCTTCTGCCGCCAGCACTTGGGAAGCCCGCCACACAGCAACCACGGAGCTGCAGGCCAGTGGACAATGCTCCTTCCAGTGCCGATCCTGCCCTGCAATCAGCTGCGGCGCAAGCACGCCCCTTGCACCCCAGCTCCCAGAGAATCCCGCAGCCTTTCCTGAGTCCCCACCTGAAAAGTCTGGGGCCCACGTTAGCTCTGCTTGCCATGGATGCTCCGCGCTCCACTGGGACAGAAAGAATGTTAATTCTGGAGCTGGCTGCCCATGGCAACACACCCACGCCAACCAGATGGGGACCTCCACCCAGAGCAAGGGGTCGAGGAAGCACTGGGAAGCGCATAGGCTCGGTGTGGGGAACCAAGTGCACAGCTGGGCTCCTGCTTCTGGAAGGTCATGAGATGCCAGTGAAGCTAAGGCAGATTCCTTGTACTAGAAGCCTGAGAACAGATCAGTAGATCAGGCCCTCACCGCCTAGACACATCAACTCTTCTATGGCCGCTCGCTTTCCAAACACCAAGAAATGCGATGAAAAAAAGGAAGTTCTCACTTTGCTGGGAGGCCAAACCTGAGGTGCAGAAGTTTCCACGAAGTATGGTCCTGGGATTGGGAAGGGAAGGTCACAAATAGGCAATGGCAGCAGCTTCCACAGCTGGGCAGTCACCATGTGCCGCCACTGAACAGCGCTGAATACATGCCATGTCCTTCTCTGCACAAGAGACCAAGAGGAGGGCCCCCCGCCCAGGAGGCCCAAGGACACGCCGAGATACACAGGACAGTCGCAGGGACAGACTCCAATCTCATCACACAGGGTAGTTGGCCTCCCCCAAGCATGAGGTCTGTGGTGTGTTTGGCACAGGCCACATCTGACCAAGCAGGTGACATGAGACCCTGGGCCCAGGTTGCTTGGTGCTGTGACAAGGGAGACTGCTAGGTCAGCCCAGTTCTGCCAAAAACCTCGGATTCCCTCTGTCGGCATGTTTCTCCCCAAGCAGCTTCCCAGGGAGGTTGAAGAACCAGGAAGGACGTTACTGAGCACACACCCCCAACCGCAAAATGACGCCTGACCCAGACGTCTTGCTCAACAGGCTCTTAGTAAAACAGCAGGGCAGGAGCACCGCTGGTCTCATGAGGGCAGCAAAGCGCCACCAGGGTGCCCTGCGGGCTGGGATGCAGCCACAGTCTCAACACATCAACCAGCACATTTTTACTCTCTCTAAAGCCAGCGCCCCCGAATCAGGATTAGCAGTGTTCCCACCGTGTGCTAGAGACAAGAAAAATTGAGGCCCCAGACTGGACGTCTCCCCGCCTCGTCCCCTGCACAAGGGTGAGGTGGGTCTATCAGAGACGTGTCCAGTACCCACTGGGGATCTCCAATCCCCAGATACTAGGAAAGGTGAGTAATCCTGTGTCCCAGCGACGCCCAACACACAGAGCATGGGCACAGCAGGCTCAGTGATGTGGGAGCATCACACTTCTCACCACATGGTGCTGAAGGCCCTGAGCATGAGTGGGCGCCAGGACACCTCCCTCCACACTCCTGCCCCATCCTCTTCCTAGTTTCTAAAGAGCTGCCTTTCACCCGGCCAGCTCTGTACTCAGATGCTCAAATGGAAGCTAAGGTAAGGACGAGAGCGTGGCATTTTCCTCTCTGACGCATGTTCTCAGGGACATTCAGAGTGCTAGGGAGGAGGGATAATGAAGGACGCTTGAGGAAAGGTAGGAACGACATGCGCTACACAGCTGGTAGTGTCCCAGACACAACTGAGCAGACCTGGGCACCCCAAGGACCCCAGGGAGTCCGAGGGGTGCAAGAGAGAGGGGAACCCTGTGCTCCACCAGCTAGGCCCCTAATCCGAACAGGACTCTTGTTGTATCGCTCCACACACAGGTGGACACGCACCTGCTGGTGAACACAAAAGCCCTGGCTCCCAAGGCCCTCACCTGGACTCCAGGAGCCACCATCTGGGTAGTCTGAGCTGTCTGCACAGCTGTCTGTGGCTGCACCGGCTGTACCTGGGGCTGCACCTGCGGCTGCTGCACCACCAGTGGAGCTCGGACCTTGAAGGATGAGAGAGAATGTGATTTGGAGCCACCTGGGGCAGAGAGCACACACTACCTCTGTGGGAGCTTTGGAAATGGAACCTTTCTTAAGATGGGGATGCATTTTCATGACTTCACACAGTATGATGTCACCTCACTGGCTGTCCCTCATCCCACAAGCTCATCAGAAATGTCCCACGTCCGCCTGGCTCTTAGTTGGCACTGCTGAACCCCACTTCCCCCAACTGCAGCAAGAGATGGGGTGGCCCTCCTACTGGGATGTCTCCACACACACACCCCTCACCACCAGTTATCACAAGCAAAGAGATGACTTCTAAAGCCGAGCACATGCCTCATCCTCTAAGCCACCAGAGCCCCACTCAGCCCAGACTCCTTGAAGGCAATCAGGCTGGACCGCACAGGCGTGGCTAGAAAGGCGAACTTGGGAGGAGAAAGGCGAACAGAGCCAGGGAGGAGAAGCAGGCAACTGAGGGACCTGCGGGTAGAGATGCCTCCAGAGGGACAAGCCAGGCACTGTGCTGGGTCCCAGGTGAGTGGCTGTATCTGCTCCTCACAAGCCTCCCGCCTGCCTCTATCCGCCTGCCTCCTGTTCACTCTGATCCTCGGCTCAGAAGTGGCCCCTGGCCCCACTCCACTCAATTAATCAAAAATACAAAAGGCTGGCCAGGCGCAGTGGCTCATGCCTATAATCCTAGCACTCTGGGAGGCCGAGGCAGGTGGATCGTTTGAGCTCAGGAGTTCGAGACCAGCCTGAGCAAGAGTGAGACCCCGTCTCTACTAAAAATAGAAAGAAATTACTTGAACAGCTAAAAATATATAGAAAAAAATTAGCTGGGCATGGTGGCATGTGCCTGTAGTCCCAGCTGCTCAGGAGGCTGAGGCAGAAGGATTGCTTGAGCCCAGGAGTTTGAGATTGCTGTGAGCTAGGTGATGCCATGGCACTCTAGCCCAGGCAAAATGAGACTCTGTCTCAAAAAAAAAAAAAAAACACAACAAAAGGCCACAAAAACTAAGTGAGCCAAAAAGACATCCAAATGGCCCTTTGATGCAGCTATCTCTGTCTTGGCAGCAAGACCCTGTCTACTGTTTCAATGTCACTGACTGGATTTGCCTTGTGCGGAGACACACAATGAGACTGAAAATAACAGTATTTTATAGTAATACTCCTGTCAAAAATGCAGCAATGACAGGGTTAAAAGATCTTGCAAAGAACATAACTGAGCAGTTGGCAAATCACAATGGACACCCAGTGGAGCCAGTGCATCTGCCGTGTGGTGAGAATGTATGCAGTGCCCACTGACCTAGTCACCTGTGACCTTACAGTGTGCACACGGACACTGCTGGAATCAGCCACACTGCTCAGAAGCCACAGCTGCTGTCCAGGAGGCAGCGGCATCTCATGGTGGGCACAGAAACGGCTCTTGGAATGCACACTCCCTTTTGCCACCAGTCGGGGGGGGCCAGCTGAGTCCCAGTGCTTGAAGAATAGGACATGCTATCTACAGCCAAAAAGCCTCAGAAACTACTGCTGACAGAACTGCTGGCTGCACGCGACGCTGTGAGAAGAGCCACGCAAGCCCCACTATGGGCAGCAAGTACTCACAAATTTCAGCTGTTGTTGGGGTTGGGCATACAACATCTGTCCAGGGAGGGCTTGAGTCTGTGACACCAATGGCTGGGTCTGTGACTGTGGTGGGAGCTGCGACGGCTGGTTCTGAGCAACTGGAGGCTGCTGGGGCTGTGGCGGCGGCTGGTGGTGCTGTGGGTGATGCATCTGCTGCAGCTGCTGGGGCAGCGCCTGGGAAGGGGGAGGCTGAGGCTGCTGCATTGGTGGCTGGGGCTGCAAAGCCGCCTGCTGCTGCTGCTGCTGCTGCTGCTGCTGTTGTTGCTGCTGAAGCTGCAGCTGTGCCATCCGCTGCAGTTGCTGCTGCTGCTGCTGTATCTAGGGACAAAGCAGACAGCACTCGTTTCCCATCCCTCAGCCTCCGAGCACAAGCCGTGGCCCCAGGAAGTGAGATGGGCATTGGCACAGCCCTCAGGGAGGCCTTCCTGGGCTGACGTCTCACATGGGGAGGGAGCAGCTCCCACAGCAGGGCTCTGGGCCCCCAGGCCAACACTGGCTTTCTCCCTGACACTGAGGACACATTGTGTGCCCGTGCTCTGGCCACCAGACTGGTCTGCCCCCTAGGATGGTTCAAGGAAACATCTAGAAGGTTTAGTAAAGGATGACAACGAACAGGTGCAGCCCTACAGAAGCCCAGATATAGCTCGACAACGGCAAGCTCTGAAGCCTCTCCATGGGTGCTCGTGCTGTCCCTACGGAGGTCAGCAGCGGGAAACTCGTAATGATGGCCCAGGTCTGCTTGTCAGGCCAGGGAGTGAAGGCGGAGAAGATGCACTGCCAGCCCTGGGAGCAGAGCCTCCAAGATGCAGGGGGATGGTGAGCAGGGCCGGACTTGTGGGAACGTGGAGGGGCTCCCGGGGCTTTCCTCCCTCAACCGTGACCTGCTGTGAGGGCGGATGCTTAACACATCTGGACTCTCCCTGCAACCCAGGGCACAGCAAAACAGCTTCTGATAAGAGGGCTTCTAACGCGACAGCTCCACCGCCCTGCAGAACACAGTGGAGGTCGACCAACACGCTCCAACCCCAAGACGGGCAAACAGCTCGGGGCGGCTCAAGCATTCCCAAGTCTCAGAGTGCTCATCTCACCTCTTGCCTCGGTTAGCTCTCACTGAACTGCGCACAGCCCTGCAGCACACAGTGGGCCCACAGCCAGGCACCCTGAGCCTGATTGAGAGGCCTCCTACTGTGATCGACTGCCTCCCTCACAAGTCAGGGAAGCCCATGGAGGAGGGCAGGCAGCACATGTGTCCGGACGACCCTTGGCTCCCTCTGGGCTCCTGCAGCTGGCATTGTGGGTGATTCCTGCCCAGGGCTCGAGGACTGTAGGGGAGGCTAAGAGCAGGAACAGGGGGCCTGGTACCTGTTGCTGGTTTTGATGATGCAGTTTAATCAGATGCTGCTGCTGTTGCTGCTGCTGCTGGAGCTGCTGCTGCTGCTGCTGCACGACTGCCTGGAACTGCTGCTGCATGGCATTCTGCTGAGCCTGGAACTGCTGCTGCTGCTGCAGCGCCGCCTGCTGCTGTTGGAACTGCTGCTGCTGCTGTTGCTGTTGCTGTTGCTGCTGCTGCTGCTGCTGGAGTGCCACCTGCTGGAGCTGCAGCTGGGCTGGAGGGCAGACCCAAGTCAGGCCCTCGGCACCTCATGCACCCCACACACCCCATGGAGGCCGGGCTCCCTAAGACTCCACAGGGCTGCACAGCAAGGGAAGCAACAAGCAAAGGCCCCGCTGCCACCGCTGCTGTGCAGACAGGAAGGATGTTCAGGCAGGGCCCACTGTCCAGGCTGCTGCTGGGATCTCAACACTCCACTTACTAGAGAGAAAGATGAATGGGAGGTGGCATTTGTGTTAATTACTGAACTTACTATTAGGAATTACTCTAGGACAATCAATGAGAATGAGAAAAGGGCCAACTAAGTCTTTTAGATAAAAAGCCCAGACTTTGGCAACTACTAATCTACTTTCTATCTCTACGGATTTGCCTCTCTTCTGGACATTTCCCATAAAAGGCAGCAGACAGTATGTGCTCTTTTGTGACCAGCTTCTTCCACTTAGCATATTTACGAAGTTCACCAATGTTGTGGCAAGTCTCAGCACTGCCTGTATTATTTTTTATTGTCAAATAATATTCCACTCTATGGGCTTCCCATATTTCATTTATCCATTCATCAGCTGATGGACATTTGGGTTGTTTGCATTTTCTGGCTGTTATGAATAGCGCTGACATGAGCAATCACAGGATTTTCTGTGGTCAGTTATCTTTTGTTGTGAACATGAAAATGTTCTAAAACTGATAGTGGTGATGGCTGCATGACTCTGTGAATTATACTACAAGCCACTGAGTAGTACACTTCAAATGGGTGAATTGTATGCTAATGAAGATTATATCACAATAAAGTTGTTATTAAAAAAAAAGAACACAGAGATTCTTTTTTTTTTTTTTTTTGAGACAGAGTCTCACTCTGTTGCCCAGGCTAGAGTGAGTGCCGTGGCGTCAGCCTAGCTCACAGCAACCTCAAACTCCTGGGCTCAAGCAATCCTGCTGCCTCAGCCTCCCGACTAGCTGGGACTACAGGCATGTGCCACCATGCCCGGCTAATTTTTTCTATATATATATTAGTTGGCCAATTAATTTCTTTCTATTTATGGTAGAGACGGGGTCTTGCTCTTGCTCAGGCTGGTTTCAAACTCCTGACCTTGAGCAATCCGCCTGCCTCGGCCTCCCAGAGTGCTAGAATTACAGGCGTGAGCCACCGCGCCCGGCCAACACAGAGATTCTTTGTACACTTTGTCCACTTTACTCCATGGTTAAGATTCTGTAAAATTACAACATATCACAACCAGGATAAGTGGGGTGTACTAGGTTCTACACAACTTTATCACCTGGGTGAGCTTAGATTCCACCACCACAGTCAAGTCAAGACACTGAACAGTCCCCACGCCACTAGGGTCCCTGGTGCTGTCACCCCAACCCACAAGCCCTGGCAACCACTTGTGGCATCTTCCATTTCTACAACTGTGTCCCTTCAAAGTTATCTATAATGGTTCAAAATGGTATATGTAAATGGAACCATATGGTATGAACCCTTTTGGGGTTGGCTTATTATGCTCGGCGTAGTTCTCTGCAGAATGCCAGGCTGCAGTTTTATCAGTTCCCTCCTTGCATTGCCAAATAGTATCCCAAGGGGAATTCACAGCACATTTAGGCTCCCATGAAGGACATGTGGGGTAACTGCAGACTGGGACTGTTACAGATAAGGCTGTGCTTATAAGGCTTAGGTGTTCATGGCCACTTCTCACTGTCTGGGATAAACGCCCAAGAGTATGACTGCTGAGCCGCGTGCTTCATTTTTAGGCAGCTACACCACTTCAATTCCTAGCAGCACTGCAGTTTCTCCATCACCAGTGCTTGATGTTGTCACCATCTATTTTAGCTATTCTCTTAGTTGTAAGAAATTTTACTTTTTTTTCTTTTTAACTCATAAGCCCCTCAACAGAAAGTAGTAAGAAATTTTAAATTTATTTTGTTACAGACTTCTAACTCTGTGTGACATTCAGAAAACATGTATATGACAGTAATACTTTGAAACTAAAATCTGAGGCTTACTTTATGATTTTTATAAATATATTTGTTTTATCATCATGTGCTCAGATTAAGTTGTTCATTACATTGCTTAATCTTCTGTAAATGTATCATTTCATCTGTTTACCTATTAATAACCAGGAGAAGTAACATCTTTCTTCATCTTTTATTTTCAAATCTTTCTGTATGCTATATTATAGGTATGTTTCTTGTTAGGATAATACAGCTGTACTATTTCCTTTAATTTCCATTTAATCTCACATTTCCTGTCTTTTAGCACATTTTTCAACTTAATTTTATTTGCCTTCCCTTTTCTAAGTTTCTTGTTGAATTGCACTTTTGTCAGATGGCTGGACTGAACTTTGGATATTTTTGGATTTTTGTTTGTTGGCTTATTTTTTCCTTATTCCACTTTCTCCTATTGACTTGAAACTTACAAATTATTTCTACTGTTTTAGCAATTATTTTTCAATTTTATCATGCATATTTAACTTAAAGCATAAAGCTTATCAATATTTTAGCCTCTTTCCCTCCCTGAGTAACCATTTTTCAAAGTAAGATTTACATCCTTGTGACGGGCCTGGTATTCATGATTTCCATTGATTCCATGTCCTGATATCTTCTTAACCCTTCAGAGTACACACTATATTAAGATGCAAGGCAGACTGTGGCTAGGAATACAACCTTCACTCTGTCACTGTTCATTGCCTCAGTTTCTTCTCTGTTAGAAAAAAGACAGTCATAATATCCACCCTACACACTGGACTAAGAATTAAATAATCTATCATAAACAAAACACTCAAAATAGTGCTTGGAATGTGGCAAGTCTATATAGAGGTTAGCTTGAGTGTATTATTTTACAGAGGTGATTTTTGTTTACACCAAGGTTTCTCAACCTTGTCACTGCTGACATTTTGATGCAGATGATTCTATGTTTTGGAGTGCCTTCCTGTATAGACAGCAAGGAGCACCTCTGGTCTCTGATCACTAGGTGTCAGCAGCACCACCACCATTGTGACACTCAAAAACATCTTCAGACATTGTCCAATGTCTCCTGTGGAGCAAAATCACTGTAGCAGAGAATCAACGGTTTAGACTGACATGTATTTACTACCATCTATGCTCAATGTTTCTTCTGCCATTTTACACCTTGCATCATAAAAGGATGATCCAGGAGGAAAGAGGAAAGAGTAAGCAAATAAAAGGATATGTCCTTCAGAAAACCTTTTAGCAAAAGTCTCTTAGGCTTGGTTTATCTAAAAATGTTTTGCTTCTCCAAATCCTTGAAAGAGTCTTGCTGGCACACAACTGCAGTTGGCAGCTCTATTCTCAACACTTTAACAATATTCTATTATCCTTCTGACTCCATTGCTGAGTCTATATATTGTTCCTTTCCAGCAACTGGCTGTTTCTAAGACATGCTTCTGGCCTCTGGTGTTCTGTAGTCCCACAGCAGTAGGTTAAGATGTGGATGCCTTTGACTTAACTTGCTTGGGGCCAGCTGGGCTTTTCTCAGCCATCAAGCCCCCACATAAGTTTTCTTCCATTCTATACATTTGGTCCTTTGGGGGCTTTGATAAGATACTGACAGGCTTTCTGATCTTATCTTCCACATTTCTTACCCTTGTTTTCCCATTTCAATTTCCTCTTCTCTATGCTACATTCTAGATAATTTCTTCAAACTTAGCTTCGAGTTTACAATTCTTCAGCTATATCTAATCTGCTGTTTACTCATCCACACTTTCTTCTTTCAATAATTATATTTCTCACTTTCACAGGTTCCATTTCAAATCTGCTTGATTACTTCTGATAGTGCTTTTTCATTGAAATGCTGTCCTTTATTTCTTTATGCATGTTGAGCTCAAAGCCAGGATTCAACAGCTCCCACACATGTGGTCCCTGAGCATGTCTCCATTGGTTCATTATCTCTTTTCCCTTCACGTCTCTCCTCACTGCGTGCCAGGTGACTCTGGATTGTGTGCTTACTGCTTGCCCTTAATCTGTGCAATCTCACAGGCCTGGGATGTGTTCCTCTAATCTGTACCTGCTTCTGGGGGAAAAGGGGGTGTCGCAGGCCCCAGCACAAATCCCAGCTGGACGGAGGAATCCCAGGCTCGCCATCACCCATCTCGCAGCAAGTCAAGGCTAAGCAGGGCGAAGAGCCCCCCCACCTTCCGCAGGCAGCAATCCAAAGTGCACCCCTTCAGGACCTGGTTATCCAGAAGCACCCTGTCTGTCACACAGCTGGCAATGGGAATTATTTTTAAAGTCAGCTTTACATGCATGTGATATAAAATTCATTGAGGAACAAGAACACACAGAGAGAAAAGCCAGCCTCATCCCAATGGTATACTACAGCCCCAAGCCACATGGACAGTCAGCAGTTTCAGCCTTTTCTGACCAACCCAGGCCCCTTGGAGACTATCACAGTATCCCTGGCAAAACCTCTGGCTGAGGCTCTGCCCTCTTGGTGGCACTGGATGAAAACCTGAAGAGGACTTAATCAAGCAGTCGTGTTTGAAAAAGGTGTCGGGAAGGGACAGCAAATGCCCACTGGGCACCACCACCTAGTTCAGGGATACCAGGGAGGCTAGTGGTCCAGGGCAGGGAGGGAGGGTCCTAACAGGGATAGCAGCAGGACGCAGAATCCGAGAACCCACTTCAACTTTCACCTAACACCGCACAGTAGACCAGGCCCCTGGGAAGTCGAAAACAGGATGTGGGCCAAGGTCACACTGGGGAGAATGTGGGCAGGATACCACAGCTTTACCACTGAGCTTCTAACAAAGAACTGCTTCAACACAAAATCTTTGGAGTGGGATTACCCATCAAGTCATGTGAGCATTCTAAACTCAGAGTTGTTTTGGGTTTGTTTTTTTTTTTTTCTTTTTTCTTTCTGAGACAGGGTCTTACTCTGTTGCCTGGGCTAAAGTACAGAGGCATTATTATAGCTCACTGCAGCCTCTAACTTCTGGGTTTAACCCACCCTCCCTAGGAGCTGTGACTAAAGGTATGCACCACCACGCCGGTCTAATGTGTCTTAGTTTTTGTAGAGATGGGGGTCTAGCGTAGTTGCCCAGGCTTATCTTAAACTCCTGGCCTCAAACAATCCTCCCACCTCAGCCTCCCAAAGGGCTAGGGTTATGGGTGTGAGCCGCCATGCCTGACTGTAAACTTAAATATTTTTTAACTATTTCTTATTATAAAATATAAGCTCATGATAAAAAGAAATCCAAGCAGTACCCAACAGTATAACATGACAAGGAGCCAGTGCCAGTACTTCTACATATCCTCCTATAACCCGGCCCTGTGTGTATTAGGTGTGTTGATGAGAGTGGAGGTGAGAACCCGGGAGGAAGGGCCAGCCGGAGACTACTTCTCAAGTTCTCAGCTACTTCTACCATTGGTCCAACATAGAAGCATAATAACTTTGTGTTTCAGGATGAGAAAGTCAGTACTCGCTAAGAGCTAGATGGTAACACATCAGTCAGAAGAAAGGAATGAAGATAGGAGATGGGAAGGGCTAGCTGGGAATGAAAGAAGATTCCAGGCAGGAGCAGGTAAGACTGAGGCTGCCTGCAGCCTCTGAGAAGGGGAAACCCAACAGGACGGGCATGAGTGAGGAGGGCGACGCTGCCCTCTTCACAGGGTTACTGGGAGGGATGGATGAAAAACAGACCCAAACACCAAGGCCTGTGCACTGATGTCCACCCCAGGTTTATCTGTAACAGCCTCAAATGAGAAACAACTCAAATATCCTTCGGGGGTGAAAGGATAAGCAAATTGGGAAACATCCATTGACAGACTGTTACTTGGCAACAAAAGGTACACACTACTGGGAAACCTGGGATGGATCTCAAGGGCATCAGGCTGAGTTTAAAAAGCCAATCTCAAAAGTCACATACAGGCCAGGCGCAGTGGCTCACACCTGTAATCCCAGCACTCTGGGAGGCCGAGGTGGTCGGATTGCTCAAGGTCAGGAGTTCGGAACCACCCCGTCTCTACTAAAAATAGAAAGAAATTAATTGACCAATTAAAAATATATATACAAAAAACTAGCTGGGCATGGTGGCTCATGCCTGTAGTTCCAGCTACTTGGGAGGCTGAGGCAGGAGGATCGCTTGAACCCAGGAGATTGAGGTTCCTGTGAGCTAGGCTGATGCCATGGCACTCACTCTAGCCTGGGCAACAAAGCGAGACTCTGTCTCAAAAAAAAAAAAAAGTCACATACAGCATGATTTCATTATACGACGTTTGCAAAGTAACACCTCTGTAGACAGAGAACAGATCAGCGGGTGCCAGGGCTTAGGGTTGGAGGGAGGGGCTGATTCATAAGAGGTAGCACAACACAGAGTATGCTGGTGCTGATGGAAGACTTTGCATGCTGACTGGTGATGATTACTTGAGTCTACACATGATAAAATCTCATAGAAGGACACATACTCACATGTGCAACCTAAGAATGCACATAAAAAAAAGCTGACGTGTGAGTAAAGTCTCTACCTGGGTTGATAGTACTGCCCCGACGTTAGTTTCTTATTACTGACAATGCTCTATGTAAGATATTATTATTGGGGACAGCTGGGTAAAGGGCGCATGGAACTCTCTGCACTATTCTACAACTTTATGACTCTTAAACTATTTCAAAAATAAAGGAGTTTCATAAAGGGGAAGAAAGCACTGAAGCACTTTGCAGTGGGCACAGCACACACCAAGTACTGAGTAAATGCTGATGGGAATTGAAGGCACAGCAACACGGGTCCCAGGAGCAAGAAAGAGAGGGAGGTTCTCTGCTTTCCCTTGAGAGCAGGTCCACCTAGAAGAGCTGACCACAGCCCCCTCCCCACCAGGACAGCATGTGAGGGATGAGGGGCCACAACACACAGAGAAGCACGAGGAGGACAAAGACCCCCTCTGAGGGGGGCAGCCTGATAACGTGCTGTAGGCCACACCCAGGACGACCGAGGGGCAAGGGCAGTGTCAGAAGGGATGGCTCCCAGGGCTCCCAGCGACCATGGTGTCATGGGTGCCGACACAGCACTGCTTGTGGCTGAGAACACCCGAAACACACTGCTTCTGTTTCAGCAACAAGACAGCCCCTAGGATCGAAGCCCAGGCAACCCCAGCCTCCCCAGTCCTGCCATCCCACCCAGGGCTAGGAAGAGGGCTTGTATCACTGCACCCCTCTGGCAGGTCAGAGACGGCTTGGGGCCTTTTCTCTCCAAACACAGCAAAGATAAAAAGGCAGAGCTGTCTGGAGCTTCTCTGTGCTTTTCTTCATATCATTGGAAGAAAAGGAATAAAGAGTTGTCACCTGCCAAGGAAGTGGCAAATCCTCCAGGAAGCGCAGTACTCACTCTGTGGAGTTGCCGTAGACACAACAGCCATGCCATGAGGGGCCATCCCCGAGGTCCCAGGGGGCGGCTGCCCTGAGAGGGGCATCGGCTGCCCCATGGCACCAAGGCCACCCATCCCACCCAGGGACTGTCCTGGTCCCCGGGGAGGCATGCTGATTCCCGTGGCTCCTGCGGCAGGTCCACCAGTCAGGCTCTGGAGCGCGTTCATGGGATCTGTGGGACATAAGAGCGCAGCGTCTCAGGAAAGGCCCGCTGGACTGGGTGTGGCTCTACGGGCATGCAGCTCACAAAGCACAGATCTCCCACCTACAGGCTGACCCCTCAAACCCCCAAACGATGAGAGACAAATGCCAGGGGCTAGGATGCCAGGTGTGTTAGTCACTGCTCCCCAAAACTGAGCCCCTCAAGAGCAAGAGGCATATCCCATACCCCTAGCCTGGCCTGTGCTAGGGTCCTGTTAAGAGACAAACAACTCCTCCGATGCCTGCAGCTGAACTGGAGACGGGCTGAGGCCTTGAGGGAAGGTGGCAGCTCCTGCCCTCCTGCTGGGTGAGCACACAGCTGGGACTTCCAGAGACAACAGACAACCATGCCCTTCTGCCTAGCAAGTGGGAGCACAGTGGCCAGACCAGAGAGAGCAGGAGGGGCCGGGCAGACACTCTCCCAGGGAGGGCGCAAGTCTGCAGACACACCAGAGTGCCAGCCCTGCTGCTGCAGAGTCCAGAGCAGCAGGGGCCCATGTCCAAGGCCACTATACCAGAGCAGCCAAGGAGGGCTCCACAGATCACCGAGGGGCAAGGTGCCAAGCCCACCAGGTCAGCAGACTTGGCTCATTGAGCAATGCCATGACGAAGGACAAGAAGCCCAATGCTGCGTAGGCTCACAGCAAACAGCTACTTGCTGAGTGTGGCCCAGCAAGGTTACCATGCCACAGAACTGGGTGATGCCCAATGACCCCACACTTCAACACCAAGGAGCCCAACACTTAGCCACATTGCCTTGACTGCCTGGCCAAGAATCCTGCACTGGCCGAGAGGTAGAGCCCACACGGGCCGGCATGGCTAAGGCACGCGTGCACAGTTGGCATTTACAGCCCCACTGCCCATGGCAGAGCAGACCACGGTGTAGTCTGTGATGCCGGAACACTCTCTTCCTGACAGGTGGGGTGCAGTCAGCCAGCCTGGGTCTGCTAAACCCCTTCACTGGCAGCTCGGTCAGCAGAGACAGGACTGAACTGACAGGATTCCCCTTATGTGATAAAACCCTAAAATTAAAAAATATAAATTTCTAAACTTACAAAGAAACTCTGTAAATTAAGAAAGTGAATTCACAGCTCTTCTCTCAGAGATACTACTATAGACTATTACACTGAATATACCATAATAGTTCTTTCCCAGAGAGCTCAAAATATTAGACAACGTCTTCATAGCATTGTGACTTTTTACAATCTTTCTGCTGGGCCACGACAGCACTGGTGTGAAACGGGCTGGGGAGGCACCGTCTGACTGCCCGGTCTACAGGGAGGCGGAGGCGGAGGAGAGGTCAGGGCACAGCTGGCCGGCCTGCTGCCCGCCAGAGTTCTTCTTTCTGTGGTCAGGTGAGTCCGGGAACACGAGCACGCACTCTCTCATTCCTGCCGCCGCAAGTCTGAGTTTGGGAAAAACTTTACTTCAAAAGGAAAACTCTTACCGCTGACGGAAGCTTGAGATTTCTTGTTATCTACGTAAAAACATAAACAAAAAACCAAAGTAAACAAAGTTTTATATAACGACATATTTCCCCGGGTAAGTCAGTTCTATAAGCCTTTGCCCAAGGGTTATTTCCTAAAACTGAACTGACCCTGCCTACAAACGAGGCAAACAGACCTTGGTGCCTGAAACCTGGAGCTCCTAGTGTTCCCTGGAATGGTGTGTGTGTGTGGGGGGGTCTGCCCTGGCAGCACCGAACCCACAAGAGACCTTGGAGCACAGGGCGCAGAGCCACTCAGGGGTCAGCGTGGAGCCCTGAGAGAACTGCCCCCAGGTTGGAGGCACACTGCGGTCTGGGCTCTGGGCCTTCTCCTGCTTTCTTCCCTTCTAGGCCCAGGGTCTCAGCTCAGCCCTGAGCAACCAACAAGAGCACAACAGGAATCCCTCGGGAGGCTAGAATGGTGCTGAAACTCAATAGCACCTCCAGTGTCAGCCATTCTGGCGAGGTAACATCTCCATTTCCTACATGAGGAAACCGAGGCTGTCCATGCCAGCGAGAAAGCCAGGTCTCGCTGGCCCCAGTGTACGGTGGTGGGGAACTGTTGCAACAGTCGGCCTAGAGCCTCCACTCAGCCTCCTTTCCATGAGCCTGTGAGCCTCCCAAGGACTGTGAGCGGCATCCAAGCCACTGTTCCCACAAGCAGAGTGGGGACGTCCAGGCCAGGTCATCTAGGCTGCTCATTCCCAGCTCCTGCTCCTTCTACCCTTCTATACTTCCCGGTGCCTTACCAGCACCACAAAGAAAGTGAGATCCAGTCAAGTCCATCCTGCTTGTGGAAAGAAGCGAAACCTACTGGGCTCTGGGGTGTTCTGTGTCTCCCTTTGCCCTCAGCGACTGACAATGATGCTGCAGCTGCTTCTACAACCCACACCCGCCCACTCCTAAACCACAGGGACAGGCGACAGGACTCGCCAGGTGTGCAGGCCTGTGTCAAGAGCAGCTCATCCCAAGCAGTCACACAACTGCAGTAGGCAGGAGCAACAGAGCAGCCAGCAGCCCCAGTTTCCTTCACAGGCTGTGGCCTTCCAAGAACAGTATCTGTGTACTTGCACATGACACACACAGTGCCATGAGCGCTGGCCCCAGGATGCAATGACAACTCATTTCTGAAGAGCCAGGGCTGCTGCCTGGCCTGGCAGACAGACCCACAGTGGGCTCTCCAAACCAGAGGTGGCACTACGTGAGATGAGGGCATCGTTCCACAGTGGGGAGCCAGGGACTTAGGAAGCTGACCGCAGAAACTTCTAGTCTGGCATGTTTAGGTCAAAACTCTGTGATCAATAAAATCAACTTTTAGGGAGGAAAGTTTCCATTCCAGGGCAAACATATTTAAGAACTTCCCAGAATTAAAAGCAATAGTCCTTAAGTGGGAACAGAAAATGCAAAAAAATATAAATAAAAATAAAACAAAAGCAATAGTCCTATAAAAAAGGAGATTAAATGGACAAGTGAAAATAGCAGTCCAGTTTAAATCACTTTGACTACATTGACACCATGAAACCAGAATCAGCATTTTTGAGGCGAGGAAGAGGAATCTGGAATCAAATGCAATGCAGGGAAGAATTTCCCAGAAGGGGCAAGTTGACACAGACCTTCTGAGTCAGCACCACGGCCTACCCAGAAAACCTCTGCAAGACAGCAACAAAGCAGCCTTCTCACAGCGGTAAACCCAGAAATGCAAAATTTTACTTACGAATATCTCGAAAATGGATAATGAGCCTGGCCACAAGAGAAAGGTATTCGTCCTAAAAGTAAAAACAGGAAGCTGTTTAATCCCAGATGAAGCAGCCCAGCCGTCTGACTCCCCCTCCTGCCCCTCACCTGCTGCTGGGCTAAGGCTCTTCCCGAAGGCTGCTAGACTCTGAGGCCTGCTAGACTCTGAGGCCTGCTGCCACTGGGCGGCTCAACCTCCTCTGGAATCCATCTCTCAGAGGAGAACCATCAGGCTTGGCCCGGCCAGCCAATAAAAGGCACAAGGAAACAAGCGGGTACAGAGAACCTCAAACTGCTGTTCCTCCACCCTCATAGGAAGAGCACTCAGCTGGGAGGGCCGGGGGCCATCTCAAGTGCCCCTTTCTTTTCACGAAGGGGACAGTCAGGCCCAGAAGGGACGAGGAGCTGGGCTGAGGCCACAAGGCCTATCAGAAGCAGACAGGCGGGCCACTTTGCCTTTGCACAGTTAGCATGGAAGTACTTTCATTTTTAATGCCCAAGCCTGTTGCTGCCTTTTCACTGTTGACATGGTCTCTGCTGCAAATCTGGATGGTGCGCCTTGGTTGTGCTTTCTGGGAATCTGTGTTCATCTAAATTTACAGCACAGCAAGGGAGAGAGCAAAGCACCACTCACAGGTGGCAGGTGAAGGGCATGCCTGCCCAGGGCCCTCTCTGTGGGGGCCACCATGCTTCCGGAACTGCTCAGCAGGACCCGCCTGCCACCCACTGTCCTCTTAGCACCCAAGGACATTCACTCCTGGGTGTCCCAGGGAAATCGCTAGTGTGACTTTGTCCTGTGGTCAACAAGGCGATGTCTGAGTTAAAATCTTATTTCAGAGAAGTGTCCTTCCCCTCTGTCGAAATGCTCATCCTTCCAGCAAGGCAGCCCTGGTTTCCTGCCCTGCTTGCTGACCTTCCTCCTAAGTCACCTGACAATGAGTGTCCACTAGAGCAGACTGCCAGACGTGGGGGAAGGGAAAGAAAATGAAAAGTGGTCTCAGATCAGTATAAAAATACAGACACTTTCTAAATCTTTATGAGCCCACATCTATCTCCCTGGTCCACCCCACCACTTTTCTTCAGCTTGGGGAACAAGCCCAGAACAACAGGTCAACAGGAAAGGAGAGGCCTGGAGAGAGGGAGGCTGGGCACAGCTGGAGCCAGGGCTGCAGGAGGGCATGTCCACATGCCCATCCTTGGTTGCTCCAGCAATCCCTGACAGGGAAAACAACATGTGTTCTAGGACCATAGTCAGCCTGGCCCCTGAAGGACAGTGATGTGGTAAAGTGGGGTATGACAAAGGTATGGGAGCCAAAGGAAGCTCAGGAACAGAGAAAAGGTGGCCAAGTGAGAGGGGAAGGGGACTTGCGAGCCTGGCCAGCATCTGACATCTCCTTAACGCCTGGGACCATCTCTGAGGTCTGAGACGCCTTAAAAGAATTTGTTGTTTTCTCCACGTCATAAAAGGTAAAACAAGAAGAGGTAGGTTTCTTTTCTTTTCTTAGAGATGGGTTCTCACTCTGCCACCCGGGCTAGAGTGCCGTGGAGTAAACACAGCTCACTGCAACCTCAAACTCCTGGGCTTAAGTGACCCTCCTGCCTCAGCCTCCCAAGTAGGTGAGTAATACAGGTGGTTGGTGTATTCACCAACCAGGTGAATACACCTGGTTGGTTTTCCTGTTTTTTGGCAAAGATGGGCCTCATTATGTTGCTCAGGCTGGCCTTGAACTCCTGGCCTCAAGCAATCCCCCTACCCTGGCTTCCCAAAGTGCTAGGATGACAGTTGTGCCACCACGCCAGCCAAGGAAGTAGGTTTCAAAAGCAACTGTACTTAGACATAAGACACATTGAACAAGGCTTAGGAGCGTGTCCCCAAACCCCTTCTGCACAGAACCAGGACACAGCAAGACTCACTGCCAGCCCCGTGCCTGGAGCCTGGTGAGCAGGTGTCACCATGCTGCAGTGCCCAGCGCCACTCCTGGCTCAGATGGAGTGGCCAGTGCCACTGGTCTGCTCCAGCTCCAGCTCTCAAGACAAGTGCGAGGAGGCCTGAGGGGAGGCAGGGAGGGTCACCTGACATGAGAAACAGACACAGGAAGCAGTTAGCCAACTGCTAGTCAAGGGCCTTTCTTGTGGGGCAAATACATTTCCTACAATTCTTCCAAAGACAAGTCGTCCAGAAACATTTGAGGACTGCGTGTTGTGGGTCAGCTGCAATAGCTCCTTTCCACAGGAGAAAACCCTGGAATCTGAAACCTTGCCTCTGATCCCCTGGCTGGGCTGTCTGTCACTCCTCCAGGTCCTCTGGTTCCTGCTGTGGATGCTGGCGTCCTAACTGACCTTCCCAGGCTCAAGTACTCCTAGCTCTCATCCAGATGTAAGACTATGGTACCCTCTTCTGCTCCAAAGCACCCCAACTCTCCTAGGACTGTTCCAGAAAAAGAACTGAGGAGCATGTAACCTCCCTCATCTTCATTCGGGCTGTTCCATCTCCTCTGCTTGCTATCAAACATTAAGTGTCCAGGCTGTACCTGAGGCTGGGTATTATAGACTACAAACAATGACCACCTTTAAAAATAACAGCTAACACTTGGCACTTACGGTGCCAGGCAAGGCTGTAAACACTTCATATGTATTCATGCCTTGAATTCTCCTAACCACCCAATGAGGCAGGTGCTACTTAATACACCCAGCTTATAGATGAAAAAGCAGAATGAGAAAACATTTTAAACAGACGTTATTATAAAAAAGCTTCATAGAGTTTCCATACTGGCTCAACTTGCACACGAGGGCCCCGTGACACACCAAGGCATGAGCACCAGGAAGGAGACAGGTGAGAGGGAAGCGCTCACGCTCCGCACCACATACACTGTGCTATACATGCCTCTTGGATGAGACCTGGGGAATCCAAATACACACATTCACTTAAATCTGCCAAAGGAAACATGGGAAAGATAAACCAAAATCGCAGATCAACAGCTACCCCACGAGCGCCAGGAACTAGGCTGGAAATGAGCCTTTTCTGAACACACCACGTTACCCATCTTTGCTTTGGAAGAATGTAAATCTTCCACTATTGAGAAGATAAAACCAAGGCAAAACAAAAAGGTACAATTTCTAAAAGTTCACGATAAACTAAAACAAATGAACTGGATATCAAGTTAGTGGCAGACTCATATACAGAAAACAATTCTTTTGAGGGGCCTTTAAAAAAAGGAAACAAAATAAAACTGCATGTTCTAGATGGAAGGGATACATTTTAAGGACAAACTGCTGCAAAGGAATCTTAAATTTTCAGTCAATACTTTGTTATTAGTGGTAATATAAGCCATTTATTCTGAAACTATTTTAAAGTAAAGCAAGTAATTACGCTAATAATATTAGAAACAATGATATGCACAGTAACAGAAAAGACATGTTTAAAATGAAAGTAGTAAAAATCCGATAAAGTTAAATTTGAATAGAAAAATATCAGTGTGCAATTATGGATTTTTTGTTGTTGCTGTCATTTCAAAAATATGTTTTTCCTTGTTTTTTTTTCACTAAAAGGCCCAAAAGCAATGAATAAACCAGCACCCACACTGCATGCTCTGAATGCCACATCACCCTCAAAAGTACCCAGGGCTCCTTAGAGGAATAGCCAACTCCATGCCAGCAAGCTACAAAAGATGAATGAGGTCATATAGGACCTCAAGAGCAACAGAACAGTGCTCGGAGCTCCCACTAGGTGAGGATGAAGTCATGTGAGCATCAAAATGAACAACTGCTGTTTTACACAGCAGATACACAGCCCTGAGCTCAAAATGTGACTCGGCCATGCTCAGTGGCTCACGCCTGTAATCCTAGCACTCTAGGAGGCCAAGGAGGGCAGACCGCTCAAGGTCAGGAGTTGGAAACCAGCCTGAACAAGAGTGAGACCCCGTCTCTACTATAAATAGAAAGAAATTAACTAGCCAACTAAAAATATATAGAAAACGTAGCCAGACATGGTGGCGTATGCCGGTAGTCCCAGCTACTCGGGAGGCTGAGGCAGGAGGATCGCTTGAGCCCAGGAGTTTGAGGTTGCTGTGAGCTAGGCTGACGCCACGGCACTCACTCTAGCCTGGGCAACAAAGGGAGACTCTGACTCAAAAAAAAAAAAAAAAATGTGACTCAAAGGAAAAGAACCCATCTGTGTCCCAGAGGTACTGCTTGCACCAGAAGATGAGTGAGACAGCGTTCCCAGGGTCCTGAATAAGCAGTTTCCAGCAACGAAACAGCTCGGGCTGATGAAAGGAAACCCTCCTTGACAGAAGAATTCCACATAATAAATGTGGGTGAAAAGCCAGAATTAAGGACAGTTACCATTTTGCAATTCCTAATTCAATGATAGAACAATTAGATGCTAACAAGGAGCTTTACAAAGGGAGAGCCGGGCTGCCACTCTCCAAACCCCAACAACTATGGCCTCGTGGAAACATGGAGACACCCAGAAATGCAAACACAAGGCCCCACCTTGATGCATTCTTGCTTTTCCTATGCAGCCAGCCGACAGAAGTAAGAGGCAGGCAGCACCAAGTCTGCCAAAACCTCGGAGGGCATCAGAGACCACACGTAGGGTCTACAGGGCTGCTGGGCTGTCCCTCACCAGGCCGTTAGTGGCCTCAGGGAGACAGGACCCTCACTGGGATCTTGATTCAAATAAGCTGACTATTAGAGGAAAAGGGCTGAGACTTGAAGGAGGCTTTACCACTGATGGATTATAAGGCAGTATCGATGAGACCATGTGATCATTAGGTGGGGCTCTGCCACACGTCTGCTGTGAGGGGACATACTCTGCAGTACACACAGATACTACACTTCAAGACGGACACAGAGATGGATGAGGGGGAAGCCACCAAACTGCAGCAATTGCTCACTCCAGGCTAGAGGAATATGAGGCCTCTGTGCTTTTATGTCTCTCTGAAAGTTTTCCGAATAGATTTAAAACTACCAACAAATCCCAGATCAAGCACTCCTGTGCCAGTATCCCTGGCCCCAGGCTGGGCCATCA